AATTTCCAGAGGAGAGTGGTGAATATGCCAGATTCAAACCGGCGGAAATCGATTTAAATTACATTTTCGAGACAAGCAATCGTGGATGTTAGCATGCTTTATTGATATTGATTTCTACAAATTTATGAATTTTAAAAACAGTACTCGTCTTGGGCTAATACTCTTATATTGATCTCTAAAATTAGCCAGTTTTATTTTCCAGTAGTATACTGGTTCTTGTAATTATTTTTTTGATTTTCAACAAGTTGTTAAATCCACCTTAGAAATATTTATAAGTAACAGTAGTGATCAAGCCCAATATTCCTGGTTTGCTTTGAATAAATTTTGATTTGAAATTTGAAAGAAATCTATTGCTTGCTGTTGTTTTCAATGTATAAATTGGATGTCATGTTGGCTAACACTCTTTTATACTCTAAAATTGATACTCTTATATTGATCTCTAAAATTAACCAGTTTTATTTTCCAGCAGTATACTGGTTGTAATTATTTTTTTTGATTTTCAACAAGTTGTTCAATCCACCTTAGAAATATTTATAAGTAATAGTCATGATCAAACCCAATATGCATAGTTTGTTTTGATTTAATTTTGATTTGAAATTTGAAAGAAATGTATTGCTTGCTGTTGTTTTCAATGGATAAACAGGATGTCATATATTTAATGTTGCTGTACATTTTTTTATTTGTCTGACATTTTCTTCGAAAAAAATAATGTTAATCATCCATGATCACAGGTATTTCGATCATTTGATATATGACCTTGCATCTTGCCTATTTGAAATAAGCATATGTTATTGCTTTTTTTAAATTTTTTGCTATTGCTTTATGTAGTTACTAAGCAGTTTGCAAGCAACGCTTTCATGAAAGACTTTTTTTATCAGTTTGGACATTTTTTCCTGTGTCAAATTACATGGAAGCTTACGGACACAGAGTAAATAACTCTTAGAAGTGTACACCACATGTAGTCTTAATCCAAACAAGCCATTTCCATTCAAAAAAATATTAATAATAATAGCTGTATTAATTGTTGAAGGGCTGACTGGGCAAGATGGCTTGTTATTATATTGTTCAGCACACCAACATCATTGCTTTAATTAACCTAAACTTAGCAACAGTTTGATTTGAAAGTTAATTAAATGAAAATAACTTTTCCCAGAGCAAACCATCAAAAAGGGAAGATTTTTTTGGTATACATGTACAAAAACATATCAAAGAATGAGTGAACACATTGCAAGTATCAGAAAATCTAGATATGTGCCTTGCAATAACGTTTGCTTTATCTGGTCGAGGGGTGCAAGCAATGTTGCGTGGGATATGTGCTTCTGTGAGAGTGGTAATTCTTTCAGCAGCATCTTGACACTTCCTTTCGACAATTGCATCTAGCAATGGGCGTACATGATCCCTTGTTGTCTTCTGCATGATTGGTTTAGCAATCCACTCCTTACTTCCTTTGGGGAAGACCACCTTGAAACGAAGCTCTCCCTTGGTTTGTACCTTCGAAGCGGTGGCATGGTCTCTGCTGGTGTTGGCATTGTGGTCAAGGACTGCTAGCTATGTTCGAGCAACCATGCCCTTATACCAAAAGTGCTTCCGATTGGGGAGGTATTTTGTCTAGACGCTGTGATACACCTCCAAAGATCCAGTGTGACAGCTGAGTGTTAACTGCTGGATGTCTTTCAGTAGATTTTTGTCAAATACTACTTCTTTTAATGCCTCATGT